AAAAAAAAAAAAAAAGGAACAGCACCTGGTTATTTTTTAGTAAAAGTCGTGCTCAGTTATTTTTTAGTAAAAGTTGCTTTGATTGTGATATTCACGTGTCTTCTTACTCTTCAGGCCTCAGCTCAAATTCAGCACCACAAACTGGTCTTCCCTGACTCCCTCCCCGCCATCTTCACAGCACTTTTTTTTATCGGAAATTATCCTATTTCTTAACATGTATTAGGTTTTCCCTATTACACACGCCGAGAAAGCAAGGACCTTATCTGATTTGTTTACTACTGTAACCTTAGTGGATAGTATTGTGTCAGGCACACAGTGGTGCTCAACGAATTATTGTTGCCAAAAAAACCTAAGGCATAGGCTGGGGGACTGGAGTTCAGTGGCTGAGTCCTTACATAGATTGCTAAATTGGATCCATCGTCCGAATAAAAGGAAAACTAACAGATGATAAAATTTGTTCAAGGTCACTAAGCTAGTAGATGATGCAGCCCGGATCCCGACATGCTTTCAGGAAGCTGCCTAGTAGTGAAAAGAGGCCACTTACAGGAACTCTTGGATTTTATGGTCTTCTTTACCTTTGTATCTCTCACAACCAGAAAGGCCATAAATGAACTAAGAAGTAAAGCAGGACGGTTCAGAACTCACAAAATGGAAGTGTAAAGAAAGGAGTGGCGTCTTTTCCTAGGTGGGATCCAATAAAAGCTTCCTGAAGGCAGTAACAGGGCAGGAAAGTTGAGCTAAAGGTGAGTGGGGGTGGGACTGAGGCTGGGGGTAGGGATGGCTTTCAGAGACCTGGGTTTGAGCCTCGTCTCAGTTTCTTGCCACGTGACCTTATACCTTAGAGGCGTGCGTGTTATTTTTACCTTTCTACGCCCTACTCTCCTCATCAGCAAAACAAACACGCTTAACTTGCAAGGGCTCTTGAGAAGGCTGAGATAATATAAACGCGCTTTACTCAGTGCCCGGCCCATAATAAGCGGCCCGTGTATGCAAACTGCCGTTATCTTTATTACCGATCAAAGCGTGCTAACCTTACCAGCAGCTACTGGCTGACCACAGTTCTGTGGAGCAATAGAAAACTTCCTCCCCTTTTGAGTTGAAAGGCACGACGCAAGAAACCGATGGCTCTGGCTCGCGAGGACCACAGCATCCACCGTTCTTGCAGTCAAGGAAGTTTGTTCCCGGTGCGAGTCGCAACCCGCCGCTCTAGCAACACGGTCCGCCGGCTCTCGGTGGTGCGACCGCGTGCGCCTGCGCGGTGGGCGTCGCGGGGCGGGGCTGAGGGGAAGGGTTAGACGGGCGCGCAAGATGCTGGGCGCGGCAGAGCGTAGAGGAGGGGGGCCGCCCGCTTCCCACCTTCCCAGGTAACTGCCCCCGGCGGGCTTTAAGGAGGGCGGGTGGTACCGTCAACTTCAGGCTTGGTCTGGGAAGGCTCGCTTGGACCTGGCGGCGTCTAGACGCTGTGGTCTGGGACGTGTCCGTTTCCTGACCTGAGAACCCAGAACCCGACACTCCCGGGGGGGAAAACGCAGGTTATGTTTATGAATCTAGCTCTCCAGTCTCGAAGTTAAAATAGAGGGCTCCTCCTCACGTTATGGCTCTGGACTGCACAAGCCGTACCTCACAAGCCGCTTCTTTTCACTTGGGAGAGAGCTGAGCTCTTCTGATGCGCTTTCGTGGTCTTAGCTGCACCCAGAACAACGCCAAGCCGTGCCCCGTGTTGGAAGACAGCGGCCACACCTTTCCCCTGAGTCTCTACTTCCATGTTCCTTCCCCAGGCATTTAATCAGCCTCGTACAAGGATTTTTAAAAATCCATTTCTGGACCCTCCTTTTTCAGAGATGTGGAAACCGTAACAGGTTCCCAAAGTTTTATTTGTAGCAGTGCCGTTTGTATATCCAACCTGAGTCCTAATCCAGGGCTGGGCCAGCTAAATACGCTTGTAGGTAAGTCCCTTAACTTCTCTAAATCTCGGTTTTCTTGTCTGAAATACAGGAAATCCCATGGTATCTTTTTTTTTTTTTTTTTTTTTTTTTTTGGTTTTTCTCCCGTACCGGGAACCGAACTCACGACCTTGCGCTTGCCAGGCAGGCGCTTTTGCCGCTGAGCTAAATCCCCATCCCATCCCATGGTATCTTCACATGGTTGTGAGGATTAAGGAGAAGTGAAATGTATGGACTGTTTAGCGTACCACCTGTCACATGTTAAACATTCATGGCATTGATTGAATACTTCCCAGAAGAATCAAAACATGCTCGAGTCAAATGCAGTTTGAGACAGGGTCTCGCTGTGCAGTTCAGGCTGGCCTTGAGCTCACTTTGTAGCCCAGGCTGTCCTCGAACTCTCAACGATCCTCCTGCCTCAGCCTCCCGAGTGCTGGGATTACAGGCGGGCGCCACCATGCCCGGCAGAAGTGTGTATCATGGTCACATGATGGCACAATTTTGATAAAGCTATGCTGAAAAGCGATGGGGATGTGTCCGGAGCTTTTAAAATGTTGCTCTGTTTCACAGATGCACATGTGAAAATCCCTGAGAATTCATCATGAAATACGGTAGTCTCTTTGCTATCACAACTATGCAAATTAAAAAAAAAAAATCCAGTCTGTGTATAGAAAAATGACAGGAAGAAAATATAGCATTACCTAGTTGCCACGTACCGGTAGAAATGTGGATGATTCCCTCTTCCTAAACATTGTTATGTACAACAAGCGGTGAACAAAGTGGAAAAATATCACACCTGAACTGAGTACAATAGCATAGGCCAGAGTAGGGTCACTGTTACAGAGAATAAAGATGCTTTAACTTTTGTTGACCTATGTTTCTGTAGCCTGTGTTTACATTAGCATTCTTGCCTGCCACCTCCTACTAGTGCTTCTTATTGAGCCTGTGTGATCAGTCAGCTGACATGCCCAAATCTTTAACCAGCCATCCTGTATGTGTAAGTGATTTAATGCTGAAACTTTATTCTTGTTTTCACTGGAGTTCCCTCTCAGGGTAGAGATAGTTTCCTGTGCCAAAATGACTTCTTGTACCCTTTTCCATTTCTTCTCCTTTTCCTGTCCTGAGCAGAGATCTAACTCAGATTTTATGCATTTACACACTGTTCCAAAACATTTCTAACAAACCAAAAAGATCACTTCATTTCATTGCAATTTTCTTTTTTGCTCGAAATGTAATGGAATCTAACCAAGAATCTATTCTGCTTTTGGTTGTGAAACTAGTGCTGCTTTTTAACCTGATGATCTACATTTTTTAATGTAAGGGAGGGATCATCTCTGAGAAAGTCTATAAATGGGATTCGTTTCAAATTAGCTTTTGAAGAAACTTTGTTTTCTAGGTATGGGAAGAAACCTTTTCATCCAGATGTCCTTAGTGATGACATGGATCAGTCTGGAGTTCTCCTCTGGGTAAAAGCAGAACCCTTTATAGTGGGTGCCTTGCAGTTCCCCCCTCCATCCAAGTTCAGTCTTCACTATCTCAAGAAGATAGCCACCTATGTGCGAACCCGTGCTATAGAAAGGGCTTACCCACGCTTGTCCTGGTCTGCATGGAGGCATATTGCTTGTGGGAAGCTGCAGTTGGCCAAGGATGTGGCATGGCTGTACTTCGAAATATTTGATAGCCTTTCAATGAAGTCGCCTGAGGAACGTCTGGAGTGGTCTGAGATTTTGTCTAACTGCATATCTGAGGATGAAATCGAAAAGCAGAGAAATCAGGTATGAATTGATATATTATGTGTGTGTTAATTGCTTTGAGAAATAAACCATTCTTAATTTTTATACTACCAGTGTAGGTTGAGGTTTTCATTTAATGACCATTGTGATCCTGAAGTACCGTTTGAGTTTAAGCAGTTCTGGTTTGGCAGTGTTTAATGTATTCTATGAATTAGTCCATATTTGCTAATTCTTACTTGCCTATATCAAAGCAGTATTGTTACAGGGACCCTGAAGTTAAAAGTGGGAAATATTTTCATCAACTTTAGAAATATTTCGGAATAAGTGCGTATCATAAACCCCTGATACATTATGGTCAGAGGCAACTAATTTTAAATAAGCATCTGCTACATGTTGGAATTTGCTGTATTTGGGAATACAGTGTATTCACCCTTTTTTGTTGCTCGTAAAACAATACAGACATTCCTCATTGAACAGCCAACTTCCATTCCTACAACTTGGTCACTAAATGAGCAATCGTATATAAAAAGTACATTATAATATCCAGAACAAAAAAATGCTCAAAGAAAACTTCAACTTGATAACTTTTCTTTTATTTGCATAACCCTTATATGCACTATTGCAATGTATAATAACATAAAACTACAGTACTATACTGTACAATATGATTAGCAAAAATTGTAGTACTGAATAAACAAGGTATACTGTACAAAAAATACATTAAGACTCTATAAACAAGATGTACAAAACTGTACCAAAAAATATGATGGCTTGTAAGTCCAAACAGTTGTTAAACACATATGTCATTAAATAAAGAATATCCGTACTACATTTTAAAGAAAATAGGTTTCTTTTGGTTCTGGAAGTACAAGGTGGAAGGACCACGTGTGGTCATAGTCTTCTTGCTGACAGAGTTTCAAGGTGTCTACATTAGTCACCTTTCCATTGCTAGGAGAAAACATCTGACATGTACAGCTCAAAAGAGAAAAGGTTTGTTTGGGTTCATGGTTTCAGAAGGTTCAGTCCATGGTCTGCTGGCTAAGGCAAGAGCATCATGTTGAGGGCCTGGTAGGTAGAAAAAAGCTGGTTTACTTCATGGCAACCAGGAAACAGACAGAAAGAGCCCAAGAAGAAAAACACCTTTCAAGGACATGTCCCCACCAACATACTTTGTCCTTCTAGGTGCTACCTCCTAAAGCCCATTTTCCTTGGATGAAGTTATTACACTCTTGATTCAGTCATCTCTGTAGGCCCCACCTCTAAACACTGCTGCACTGAGGATCAAGCATTCAGTACATGAGTCTTTAGTGGGCTACTTATTTAAACCATAGCAGTGGCCCAGGGTATAGAGACAAGGAGCATCTGTATGTATTGGTCTCTCTCTTAAAAAGCCACCAGCGTCCAACCATAGGGGCTTTACCTTGATGAACCTAGTAGTTGTAATCAATTTTCAAAGGTTCTACCTCTAAACACCCATGTCTGATTAAAGTTAGATACTAACTAATCATTAGGTATTTTGGCTTGCAGATACTTTCTCCCATTCCATAGATTTTCTTTTCATTTTGTTACTGTTTTCATTGTGAAGAAGCTTTTTAGTTTGATCTAATCCTACTTTTTTATTTTTGCCCATTGCCTGTGCTTTTGATGTCATATCCAGAAATCACTACTAAGACCAATATCAAGGAGCTTTTCTTCTGTTTTTCTTTTAGGAGTTTTACTATTTCAGATCTTACATTTAAGTCCTTAATCCATTTTGAGTTGATTGTACATGGTATAAGCCAGCGATGGTGAATCTTTTAGAGCTTTCAATGATAAACAGCCAGCTGCTGCACACATGCCATAGGTTTGCCACCACTCGTAAGGTGTGATCTCAGTTTTCCTAACATCATCTATTGAAGAGCCTGCCCTTTTCCCATTTTGTGTTCCTGGCATGCTTATCAATAATTAATTGACCATATATGTGAGAGTTTATTCATTTTTGGGCCCTCATGGTACCTCTAAAAACTTTTGTTCAGGTCAGGTATAGTAGTGCACATCTGTAATCCCAGTTTCTTGGGAGGCTAAGGCAAGAGATGGATTGCAAGGGTGAGCCCATTTGGGCAATTTAGTGAGATCCTGTCAAAAAAATTCTTTTAAAGGGCTGGGGACATAGCTCAGCTCTCCATGTGTTCAATCCTCAGTTCGAAACACACACACACACACACACACACACACACACACACGAATGAACAGAACAACTTCTGCTCAGATGTACCATAAACTAAAACTACTTTCATTCCTTTGGTTAAAGCTTTGTCGCATGGCCAGTATTAAAGTCCGTGGGGTAGGAAGGTAAACTGTCTCATGGGGGATCAGGGAAGTTGCATGGCCATAGATAGAGCTAAATAAACTTCTTTGAAGACGGGTAGGTACAGTTGCAAATTGCACCTTTTACCACAGCCTTGCTATTTTAGGCCTCAAAGTCCTCTGCTTCCCTTTCTTTTGCACTTTAATGGGTCAGGTTTGAAAGGGTTGCATATAAATTTGCCTACATTCCACTGACTCTGTTACAGCTTACCGAGCTGCAAGAAAGGCTGAGAAATGCCATCTAATTGTGTGCCTGGGAAGAGGAGAAAAAGTAGCTTGCAACTAGCTAGTCTCTCCCACACGAGGTAATAGCTAAACAGGTTTTACAAATTGAAAAGTTTGTCACACGACCAGGAAGGAGAAGGGCATTGTGGTTATTCTTTAATCAGATATTCTTATTCAGTACCTCCTGTGTGATAGGTACAGTAGTGAATGCTGTGGACAAAAGCATACGGCTTTCAAGAAGTTCCAAATTTTTTGAATTCTCACTGTATACCTTATTATATAGTAGTTACTAGGGATATAAAAAATAAGCAAGCCAGTCACAGTGACATATACCTGTAATCCTGGCATTCTGGGAGGCTGAAGCAGGAGGGTTGCAAGTTCAAGCCCAGGCTGGCAACTTAGCAAGATGCTGTCTCACAAATAAAAGGGCTAAGGATATAGCTCAGGGCAAAGGCCCTGTGTTCACTTCCCAGTACTACAAAAAAAAAAAAACGAAAAAAAATCTTTTAGTCTCAGTCAGTGTCAAACAGTACTCTGGATGCTACTCCCAGCTACTTGGGAAATACTACAGGAAGAGTGTGAGTTCAGGGCCACTCTGGGTGATTTGGCGAGACCTTGTCTAAAAATAAGGGTTGAGATTGCCAGGAATTAAGGAAGGGGGAAAGTGGCAGAGGAGTTGGTTTGGCTCTAAAAGGCAGCAGGGAAGATGTGGAATTGAAAGAAATCGTCTCTCTCTTGGCTACTTCGATGTCAGTATCCTGGTGACATCATACTACAGTTTTGCAAAGTGAGAAGCTGAGGAAAGCATACATGGTCTCTCTCTGTATTAGCTCTTACAACTGCATGTGAATCTTAAAAGTTTAAGGAAGTAAAACTTTGTAAATGTGTATTCGGGGGCTCCACACTGAGTTGACTGAATAGGTCTGGGTGATCCTGAGAATCTGTATTTTTAAGCACATCAGATGATAGCAGTTTTCTACCGGGTTGGAAATCAGGGTCGATATAGCTGTAGAGTCATACATATCGCTTCACTTTGTTCCCTCTCCTATATGTATATGGGGGTGAGTATATGAAGGTAATCATGAGCTTCAGCTGAGTGTGGTGGTACATACCTGTAATTCTAGCAATCAGGAGGCAATCAGGAGGCTGAGACAGGAGGATCACCTAGTCCCAGGCCAGCCTGAACTACACAGTGAGACCCTGTCTCAAAAAAAAAAAAAAAAAATTATGAGCTTTCAACCATACCTCCCCTCAAATAAGAAGTGACCTTGTATGACCATTATCAGACCAATGCTGTTTGTTTCTTTACATCTGAAAACCTTTTAAAAACTGAAAACACTAGGCTACTCTCTCACAAAATGCACACCTATCAAGAAATTATATTACATTTGGTACACTGATATGCTAAACTTTCTTGAGAAGCCCTTAAGTTAAACCTCTATCTTAATGAATTCCATTTCTTTTTTTCTTTTATCTATTCTTTTACTTATGAAAATTACGAAGGTTGGGTTTTTAACCAAGAAATTAAACTTGTGTAATCCTGTAGTTTTTACGAGCATGGTGTTCATCCTTTCCTTTTCATTAGTTTTGAGAGAACTGATTTCTGTGGCTCTCTGTGAAGGCAAATGAGCCTAATACTAGAAATTTGGTTATCAGGAACAGACATAGCAAATGCTAGCAACGTACCTGATAGCGGTTTTTAAAGGACCATCAGCTGTTGTGAATTCAGTTTGCTGTGTCCACTTAACTGGTGTTGGAAGACATGAGGTCACCGTTCATTCTCTCCTTGGACAGCTTTCGGTGGACACCCTACAGTTTCTGCTCTTCCTGTACATACAGCAGCTGAACAAGGTGTCCCTGAGGACATCTTTGATTGGAGAAGAGTGGCCTAGTCCCAGAAACAGATCTCAGTCTCCTGACCTGTCTGAGAAGTCCAGCTGCCATAATAAGGTACTGTTCATAACTTAATCTCTTTCTCTGAAGGGAATGACTTGGGAAGGAAGTAGTTCACCTTCTTTAAAAATTATTTTGGAATTCCTTATTTAGGCCAATGAATTTGAGGCTTTCTTTTATTTTTTGCTTTTAGAGGCTTTTTTTTCTAAAAATAAAACAGAAATTAATGTGTGCGGTCATAAAATAGAGAAATCGCATTAGTTCCTTCACAGGTATAAAAATCACGTGATTTGGGGGTAAATCATTCACCATGTTCTGTTAGTATTGCCATTTTTGCAAATGCTAATGGATTTGAATCTACTGACTTGACTAAGATGGATAAATGAGATGTAATATTTCCAAAGTCTGTTCAAACTTTCTGAAAAATTTTTCTATAAAAATATTTTATATTGCTTAATCATGTTTAAGAAGTTTTATATGCTGTGATACCTACATGTTAACTGCCTCATGTTATTTTAGAAAATATCCTATTGTTCTTTCCTTTCTGTTTTTGTGAAGAAAAGTATTTCTTTTTTTTTTGTACTAGGAATCAAACTTAGGGCCTCACATTTGCCAGCCAGGCACTGTTCCACCGAGCTACATCCCCAGCCTAGAAAAGTATTTTTCTTTTTTTCTTTTTTTTCTTGTGGTGCTGGAGATTGAACCCAGGGCCTTATGCATGCAAGGTAAAGAGCTCTACCACTGAGCCACATCCCCAGCCCCAAGAAAAGTATTCTTTATTTAATTAAACTTTTTCATTTCTTTTTGAGACAAGGCCATGCTGTGGCCCAGATGGCCTCAAACTCGCAGTGATCCTCCTGCCTCAGCTTCCCAAGTGCTGGGATTACAGGTGTGCACTAGCGTGCCAAGCCCAAAGAAAAACACTTTTTAAAATTTATTTTTGTGGAAATATTTTGAAAAACTTGAAGTAAAGTGTCAACTTTAGAATTAATGCCAGGCGTGGGCTCTTTTAAAAAGCTCTGAAGCTAAAAAATCTCTTCGCTATTGGTACTTCTATAATCTTTTTAATAAATCTGTCCTCCCTTACATTCCATGATGCTGTACCGTGCTGGTTCTGCTTTAGATTCTGTCTCAGTTTTCCTTATAAATTTTTCTCCCCTGGCCCTTGCATGCCACTGTTCTCAGGATTCTACTTGAGGAAATTTTTATTTTCTACTGAGCGTCTTTACTCACTGTATTTCTCTCTGTCCCCATGACTGCATGCCTCTCAGTGGCTCTCAGCTTTGTCTCCAGGCTAGAGCCCTTTCCTTGTGTTTACCTCATCTCCCAGATGCCCCAGCTCTGCCTTAATTCTGAAATGTCCAAGTCCAAGTGTGCTGGAGAAGCCGATCATTGTGTGCCTTCTGCCCAGGTAGTTCCTACAGTGTTTTGGGCTAAAGTGGCCAAACTCAGATCTAGCTCTGCCACTTAATAATTGTCACATGATTCCAGGCAGGTCAGTTCACTGGGCTTGGATCTGGCTTCTCTTCTTTAAATTGCGCTAATGCCTATTTCTGAAGAGCTGTGAGCATTCAGTCGTATATTAACTTGGGGTTGTAGCGTAGTACGCTCCAGGAAATGGCAACGCTGGTTCGTGCTGTAGCACTGACCTTTCCGACAGTTGAGTGGACAAGCACAGGCACTTGCACAGCTCATTCAGTGCTGTGTGTTTGAAAGGATGGCCCTGGGCCCTCGGTACCCCTAGAGACTGAGACAGGTCCCATAAGAGATCCTCAGAAAATATCTGTCAAATGAGTGAGGCAAATTGCTGGACCATCTGCCACCTGAAGCCTAGCCCCAGAGTCGCAGTTTCTCTTGAGACTAGTCACTATATGATATTTCACCCAGTAGAATTTGAAATTCTTTCTGTTATAAAAGGAAGTAAATTAAACCCAGTGCTTCACTGAGTGAATGTCCGTGATGGCTATTTTTATATTTAATTTGAAACTTTTAGAATTTTTACTAGCTGTGTGACTTTGTTATCTTCTGTAAATGGGTGTGATAATGACGTCATACCCATCATTGTTAAGGTGAAATACATTGTCTTAGTTACTTTTCTCTTGTTGCTGAGACAAAATACCCAATGCCCAAAATTAAGGAAAGATTTTAGCTCACAATTTGTGGAGGTTTCCATAACCACCTGGCTCCAAGACAGGGTGGCATAATGAGGGACAACAGTTGAAGGCAGCAGAAGACAGCAGAAGCAGCAAGAGCAGAACGGGAGAAAGAGCAAGCCTCTTTTCCTCCCGTATATTGTCAGCGGGCTACTCTCCCACCCGCAAGGCAGGTGTAGCACTTGCACATCTCCACGCCCTCCTCTTACAGGATGCCCTCCCCTTACAAAGTGAGGGCCCTGGCCCCCTGCTGAGTTGCTTAGTTAAACTTCTAAACTTCTCAAGTTGACACAGTGTATCAACCATTACATATGTTAAAGTATGTGTAACACTTAATGCTTAACAAACATGAAGGGTTTTTTATTTGTACCGGTTAAGTATTCCTAACCCAAAATCAGAAATCCAAAATGCTTAGAATTCACTATTTTCTGAGCAACAACAGGATACCACAAATAGAAAATTCAACACCTGACTTCAACAGACAGAGCACAACTGAAGTGCAGGCTTATTAAAAATGTTATATAAAATTCCCTTCAGGCTTTGTGTATAAATAATTTCATATTTAGACTTCGTCACATCATCAAGATGTCACTATATATATATTTTCCAAAGTCTAAAAAATTCCCAAATACTTCTGGTTTAAGCATTTTAACCTGTACCACCTTTGAATCAGTTAATGTGAAGGGAGAATCTGTTTATACCTCACACACACACACACACACACACACACACAAACATTGTATATAGCCACCTAAATTTTTTTGAGGGGATGAGGCAGAATATAAGAACAAAATAACTAAAAGGTAAAACTTTTAGATCATGTAGAATTTCTTTGTTCTGTTAAGAGTGCTTTCTTTGTTTTTGTTTTTGTTTTTTAGAACTGGAATGATTACAGTCACCAGGCTTTTGTCTGTGACCATCTGTCAGATCTCCTTGAGCTGCTTTTAGATCCAGAACAGCTCAGCACGTCCTTTCATTCGACCCACAGTAGTTTAGTCTCTCGAGAAGCTGTTGCGGCGCTCAGCTTTCTCATTGAAGGCGCGGTGAGTGGAGCCAGGAAGATCCATCCGCTTCATGAACTTGCGCTGTGGCCACCAGTACACGCAGACAGTGGCTTCTCGAAGACCTCTAAGACCTTCTCTTTCTACAAGCTGGAAGCCTGGTTGAGAGCCCACTTGACTGGGAATCCATTTGGTACTTCTGCTTGCCTCAAGTCAGGAAAGAAATTGGCTTGGGCTCACCAAGGTATTTTTTTAATATTGTTACTGAAATTGAATGACAAAAGCCAGGGATATAGATCAGCGGCACAGTACCTACATCGCAAGCGCAAGGTCCTGAGTTGGAGTCCTGGTAGCAAAATAGAAAAAATTTTGAATGACAAGGAACGTAGTGTCTCCTGGTGTTTTATAATCACATATCTTCTGTAGAGGACCTAAAAATAAAAAATACTGCCACTGTATAGGGAGCATCCGTCCTTTGGGTATGACTTTCACTCTCAAGGCAACAGTAATCTCAGTTGATTTGTTAGTCACGGTCCATTTAGTTAATTAACAAACTCTAGCTGCAGTTAGTCCTGCAGTCTGTGCCGTGCTTTTCTCTGGTTCTCTCCCTTCACCTTCATGTGCTCACTGTTGTAAGACTTTATTTTTTAGACAACAGCAGAATTTGTCCATCCCACACTTACAAGTTGATGTAGAATTGAGATCTTTTTTAGCTACATGGGCACAAACAGTGTAGATGTTTATAAATTGGAAATACAAGTTTACAGCAGAAGCCAGTGTTGGTTGAATCGGGTGTACATTGCTGATAGTCCAGCAGGCCTAAATAGATAGGTTCGGGTGTTATATGACTCCTGTGTCATATAAACATAAGTTTTAAAAGGTGAGGGACTAGGCCCACGTCTCTGTAGCTGTGTGTGCTACTGAAGAAAATGCAGGCAAAATTAATGGAAAAAACCAGAATTGCCCTACAATATGCTTCCACTATTTCTGAAATTCAAAGATAAGTATCTCTCTTACAAATGTTAAAAAATATATATCCAGTTTCTATCAGATTTTCACAGCTCACAGAAAATGGTTGAACCCCATCTATAGACTGTGGAGCAAAAAAATTATAATCCAAGAATTCTGTATTTAACTAAACTGTTGCTACAGTAGGAGATCACAGACTCTCAGGTATGTAAGGATCCTATAAATAGAGGTTGCTACATAATTCTGGGTGCTCATAGAACATAGGTTTAAGCAAGCTTTTGAACCTTGGAAAGGTAGTCATTAGCAGAAAAAAAAGAAAGGCTATCCAACCTCCCAAGATTATACTAAAACGGTAATAGTAATAGTAGGATTACATATGATTTTAAATTTTCTTTTACCATTTTTCTACACTAAGCATGTGTGATTTGTATGGTATATATAATTTGAAATTAAACACTAGTTATTTTAAAAGAATTATATTTTATGGAGCCTCTGCACATTTGGCCAGCATTAAGAGTATCCCAATGGCTTGCAGGGAAGCATAGTCTGAGACGCCAGTCATGTAATGTTGGGACTGTGTTAGTAGGGCAACCTGCACGTACTTTATCGTATCAACTTGTATGAGACACTGTGTATAACGGGAAGATGTGCTCTCCGGTAGTAATGATCCTAGGAGTAAGACATGAACTCACGTAGATCTCAGGGAATGATGCTTTAGGGAAAGTTAGAGGAATGCAGAATTAATACGGCAACGCAGAGAGGTTAACTATAGCTGGAATGATAAAGACATCTTGGAGATGTTTGAGTTGGGCCGACTCTTTCACTTTCTAACCATATATCCTAAGGCCAGAGGCACATTACCTAAACGGTAGATGTGGTGAAAAACAGTCTTAGATCTATTAGCAACCTTGACTGGATTAATTTTTAAATTTGTGTAACTAATGATGAAAGATAACAAATACACAGAAAAGAACAGGTTGGATAGGCAGCATCACTTTACCCAGTGCCCAAATCAAAGTTCAGACATGGAACATGTAGACATGTATAACCTCCTGTGCTGTTTCTTTGATTTGAAACCGTCTTACTTACTTATGCTTTCTTGAATAGTTGAAGGTACGACCAAAAGGGCCAAGATTGCTTGTAATACTCACGTGGCTCCTGGAAGGCACCGCCTGGTAGTGATGAGCCAGGTGTACAAGCAGACACTGGCCAAGAGCTCAGATGCTCTGGTGGGGGCGCACGTCCGCATTCACCGTTGCAACGAATCTTTTATATACCTGCTCTCTCCCCTTCGGTAAGCACAGTCTTAGTGTTCTGACATTTTGACATTTTCTTGGCCATAGGATTGATCCTTTTTTTTTTGGTCATCAGAGACTATTACTTTATGCAGTTACTTGTTTTTAAGCTTACCGTTATTCAGAGGAATTCACCTCCTTTTTAATTTTTCAGATCTGTGACAATTGAGAAGTGCAGGAATAGCACCTTTGTCTTGGGCCCTGTAGAGACTGCTCTTCACTTGCACTCTTGTGACCAGGTTAAAGTTATTGCTGTTTGCCGTCGTTTGTCCGTCTCTTCTACAACAAGTTGCATCTTTCATATTCTGACACCTACGCGCCCACTTATTCTCTCTGGGAACCAGCGTGTAACTTTGGCTCCTTTTCATACCCATTACCCAATGCTAGAGGACCACATGGCCAGGACGGGCCTTGCTACAGTGCCTAACTACTGGGATAAGCCCCTGGTCATCTGCAGAGAGAACAGTGACTCAAGTGTCTTCCAGCTCTTACCCCCATGTGAATTCTATGTATTTATTATTCCTTTCGAAATGGAAGGGGACACAACAGAGATACCTGGGGGTCTTCCACCTGCATATCAGAAAGCACTGAGCGAAAGAGAACAGAAGATCCAGATCTGGCAGAAAACTGTGAAGGAAGCTCGTTTAACAAAGTGAGTGTTTCCTAGGAGTTTTATTGTGTGTTTTATTGGAAACTCCATAGAAAAATAAACAAATCTTAACATTTTTATAGCTGTGACAAAGTACTTTAAATATATTGTTTGTTTTTTAAGGTTTGCATTTCTGGTGAGTATTTTAGACTGTGGTGGAAGTGGAGATGGGAATGTGTGGGTACTTAGCTATTAGACTCTATAAACCCTTTTCTTTTAAGAAGCTGAAGTTTAGCTGGCCAATGGAAGACTTGTATGAATTAAGGAATCATATATAAGATTTATCACGTAATCCAGTTCTTACCTGGGTTAGTTTTGGTTCTTAATTTACTTTTCTACACTATACTGGTGCTTCTCAAGCTTGATTGTACATCAGAATTTTCTTTTTTTTTTTTTTTTTTTTTTTTG